AGATTGTTCTCTCCCTCTCTCTCTCTCTCTCTCTCTCTCTCTCTCTCTCTCTCTCTCTTCCCCTCTCTAATAATAAGCTTTATACAATACATTCAATTTAATATCATTTATTAATGATTATCATTTTCTTAATTTATCTTGGAAATATTTTTTCGTCATTTCTTCATCAAGTACATTTTAGATTATCTAAACTTTAATGATACATTTCTTTACCAGCATAAAATTATTTTTTTCTGTTTTTTTTGCACCTTCTTCAAATAAATTGCATTTTCAGAGATGTCATTAAATAGATAAATCCATCCGGTAACATCTACACACGAAATTTTTATAGGGATACACCTGTGCAGAAATACACCGGTTCTCGCCCCTCGCAACTTTGCTCTGTAGGCTGTTTGATCGCACGGTCACGATTAATCTCACCGCTAAATACTGGGCTCGAGTTGCAATTCACCGCCCCTCGCATTCTTCCTTCTCATCAGACACGAAACACCCCGTCTCGATGCCGCGGTCGCGATGCAAATGACAATATTCACTCCCCTTCCCGTCCTCACTCTTTCTCTCCGCCGAGAGCGTGTCACAAGAGAGCGAACTGATGAAATCAGAAATGCAGATCATGACCGCACAATTGGGATCAACTGCACGACAGCAGACGAGAGTCCCCAATCGGGCAAGGGAGAAAGAAACGGCAGCATTTTTGTATTTACACGCGTGCCCTCGCGTGATAAGCGGATTTTTACGTCTTTTGGGAAAAAATCATCCAGCAGTATGCGTTTCCCACGTGGGATACATTGCGATCGATGCGCGAATGCACGAGAACGATAACGACGTATTTTTTCTCTCTGTATGACTGCCAGAAAAAATTCTGTGAAAAAGATCTGTGAATTTCTAATGAATAAAGTGTAATGTACAATGCATATTTATAGCAATTCATTCACGGTTCCTTATAAAAAGTCAGCTCTTCCAGCAATTGTCAAATAATAGCATGAATTGAATACGGAGCTTTAAATTTTCCGCACACATACGTACAAAATCTAAATACCTTCTATCTTCCCTTTTTAAATTACTTTTAGGTAGAAAACGAAAAGCTTTTTCTCATCTATTTGTCACGATTTATTTTTTAATTTTGCATTTCTTGTGCATTCACGAATCTGATTCCGAATTTCACTGCCTTGACAAGATTTCCTATAAGACATATCATTTTCACATGATATGGAAATCTATTTTCCATAAATATTTTTTTATTATACGTAAGAATTGTAAGCTAGGTATTAATAGAATACTGACAATTAAATTTAGACCTTGATGTAATTGATATGATATTGTTGAAGAAGTGACATTAGATATAGGACTACATGTATATTTAGATATTCTCTTGTACTGAATTATCTTGCACATGATACGCTTATTGTCGCTAGCTTATACTGGCTCTCGCCGGAGGAATGACGATCTCGTATGAAGGGCGAATCGAATGCGTGCGAAGAGAGTAGTTTCATGGGAGAAATTCGACGAGGTTTCGGCCTGGAGGCGGGCGCATTCTCAGGCGGGCTCGTCGTGCGTGATGAAAAGCGCGTGGTCATCCAGGCGAGACATGATGGCGGAAGGTTTAATCTTGCGTGCACTTGACTCGAGAGCCACAGCCAGTGCCCGATGCAACCTGTGCACCGTTTTCGCGATTCACACGAGTGGTGAGAGTAAGAGAGAGAGAGAGAGAGAGAGAGAGAGAGAGAGAGAGAGAGACGCCGCGGCGCAAATCCCCCAGGGTACGTACGTCGGTGCGCCCGTTTTAAATAAATTTCAATTCAAGGGGGAGGATGGATCGGGGGCAGGATATGTATCACCCCGAACCCACCCTCGGTTGCGATTAACGAGCTATTGATACCCCCTTCCGCGTGCTGGACCACGAATCCCCCTTCTCGAACCTTGTCGAGACGTGATCAACCCCCTCTGCCCCCGGCCCGCCTTCCACTGCACCGAATTCTGGACACTCCAAACCGCTTCAGAATCCCCTTGTATGAGGAATATCGCACATGTGACGAACGCGATAAACGACCAAAGCTCAAAGGGCCCGGAGATGATGCGTTCGCTTCGATACCATTATAAAGTCTTGGGAAAGTTCAGATGCTGAGGTTAACATGGTCAAACCATGAAATTAGGACGTAGTATGAACCGTAAAGTCGTTACTGGGGTGGCGACGAAGGAGGGACGACGATGGATTTGGTTTCGTTGCGAACGAAAATCAAGGATACGTATACTGTGCCTACGTACTAATTTGCACAACGCAACGTTTTAACTTAACAAGAGAAAGGATAGTGCTATTGATTTTAAAAAGTTGAATACTTCAAATAATAATACATTTATAAACATATTTTTAAATTTAAAATTATATTTAAATAATAGTTCCAATACATATTTACAAATAAATATTACAATGAAATAGAAATTCTTTTAACAAATTTAAACTTATATTCTCTCTTTTTAATATATTAAAATCTTGATTCAAGTAAATTCTGTGATTATTGTCAGTATCTCAATGTATTTTAAAAATTGATAAAGTTACATGTCACGAACTGCAAATTGGAATACCTCCAACGTACGATCATAGGATATAGCTTTCTTCTCGAGATAGGTGCGTTTTACGAAGATGAGAGAATGTAGAAAATGCCGCGTAGCTTCAGTGGGAACCGGACCCGTATCGAATAACCGTGGGAGCAATGCATAAACGTCAAAATGCTGAAATTATTACTCGGCGTGGTTATTATTGTAATCCCTCCGGCGCGTTGTAACGCCAAGTTCATCATCGTCATCATCATCATCATTCGAGTCTTCTGCGTGTCCCATCATTACAATAGCTCGCCTCAGCCGCCACGGGTTTTCTTACGCCCGATGCATCCGCCTACTTTTACATTCTCCTTTCTCACTTTCGAGAAACTGGCGTGTCGCCGCCGCCGGGACGACCGGGTACGCGGGCCCGATGATTTCGGGGTTTCATCTTTCGGCGTCCAATATGCGCGAGGTGTATGTATGTGCGCGCCGCGCCGTAACAAAGCACAGGAATTCCTATATGAAAGGGAACGAAGCACATATCGGAGAAACAGGTCGCCCTACAATTCCGCCCTCGTCCGTATTGTTTATGACTGAA